TTCGGGAATATTACGAACTAAATCAAAAGCAGCTTGGTTAGCATTTTTTGCTTACGAAAACCTTTATTAGGTCTTATCATTCTCTGTAAGAAAATTAGTTTCAATTTAAACTTCGTAATTTAGGGAAACATTAATATCACATGAAAGTTAAGATTATATTAACCAGTTGGAATAATTCATTAATTATTATTTATGAAATATTTTGAAATTTTCCTTCATATTTCCTTTTACCTTATTTCCTTTTCCTTTAACCTAGATATTTTTTTCACATATCTTTTATGAAATCTGTTTATCTCCCTTACATTTCCTTTAAGAAACCTTAACATTCTTAAAAATAAAATCGTTTCGTTAGTGAATCGTTTTCCGTTTGGTTTTTAAATTTTTAACAAAAAATAAGCATTTTCAACCAAAACTCTTGAATGAATTTATTTTTAAAAAGTATCTGAAAAATAACTACTGGCTGAAACAACACAAAACTTTAATAAAAATTTCACATACTGCAACTAAGCAAGCAATACCATTTATTGCTTCTTTCAAAATTCATTAAACCATGGAATCAAATAAGAAAATAAATGATGATAACCCTTATAAAAACCTTTTTAAACCTGTATTCATTATCGGAAACTTATAGCGTATTTTCCTTTACATTTCTTTAACAAAACCTTTAAAATTAGAACTTATGTAAAAGTTTTGTGCTGAATTTTTTACTTGCGGATGAACTTCTAAAAACATGTTTTTATTAATATGCAGCAAATAAAAATTAAAAAAGGAACGTTTTAGCTTGATTAATTGTGTCAGTAAATATCTTTCTTTTTTGTTGATTAATATTGATTGCCTGATCATTTACTTCTTTTCCACACTTACAAAAAGCAGGTATTCAACTAGCCATTTGAATAATGGCAGATAATTAAAATGAACTTCTATGCTTGCATTTCTGCTATAGCTTAAACATGTAACTGTATTTTTTTGCGTTCTCTTCTTCAACTTTCTAGAGAAGGCATGTACTTAATACTTATGTTTACTCCATGTAACGAAAATATAGTTTTGTTTATTTTGCTTTATTTATCATTAAAAGAACTTAAAAGAATTTGTTGTGTAATAAAGAAATAAGGCACTAAGCTCAATAGACGGGAAACAATGTATTTTCTCTCTTGTTAAGATCCCGGAAGTTATTTTTCAAAATAAACTACGATCAATCTTTTTGAACTACGATGAGTTTGAACAAATAATTATGACAATATATCACACTAATGGTCTTTTCGAAGAAAAGAAAAATGACCTTTCCAAAATGACCAACTTATATTTCATTGTGAAAAATAAATTTTAATAGAAGTTATTATAACGGAATTTTCATGAAAAAAGATTGATTTTATTTATCTATATATTTAAAAAGTAGTGTCAGTGTGTCAGATAAACTATTGTACTGAAAACAAAAAGAAAAGTAGAAACGAAAAGAAAAGTAGTAGAACGAATTCATTCAAGAGAAGCGTAAAATATCAACTTATCATTGACCCTAATGATCGTTGATTAATTATATTCTTAGGTACTAATTGAAACAAAAGAAAATAAGCAACGTGCTGAAGAACAAAAGAAATGTAGAAATACTACAAGTTCATTGAAGAAAAAAGTAAAAAATTACCATACGCTTTTTGACGTCAAAGATGTTCAAGTACGTTTTGTAATAAGAATTAATTAAAATTAAAAAAAAGCTTTAAACTGCAAAGAAAAACTAATGCAGAAATAAAACTAAATGAAGCAAAAAAATCAACTACGTGCAAAAAAAAGAAGAAATCATACTAATGTGTTTTAGCGAAACGTTAAAAAAAAAAAACTGCCGTACTATTTTTGTTGACACTATTGATGTTTAATTATTTTAGATAATATGCACTACTGGTATTTCGGTAATTAAAGCAGTTTTAATATAAATCTATAAATCAAATATACTAATATAGATACTAATTATAAGGGTTGCCCAATTGAAAAATAGACTCGTGAAATTTCGTTTAAGTGACTACAGCTATAACGGCCCTATCGAATATAGATGTAAGGACGATAGGAGATGTGCAGTGTATATAGTGTTCAGCAGCGAAAGTTGATCGAGGTAGAGGGAATTGATCGAAAGTAAAATCATGCTGTACATTGAGACACCTAAATTGGAACAACGCGTGATAGTACACTTTCTGGTTGCTGAGAGTGAGCACTCACTAATTATTCTTCTCCATGTTCGCCCACACGTCTCTCGTGCAACCCTGACATTTATAAAAAAATTTCATTGGGAATTGCAAGAACACCCGCCTTACAGTTCAGATTTGTCACACTGCAGCTTTCACATTTTTAGACCAGTTACGAGAGCATTACGTTCCCATTCGGACTGCGAAGAAAGACAAGACTTCCTCCAGAAGCAACCTGAATCTTTCTTAGCAAAAAAGACATAGACCTGCTACCGAAATGATGGATGATCGCCATTTTTTGATTATCAATCATGATATTCTTTTCATTCAACTTGTCAATTTTTCATTCGGGTGATCGTTATATTTCATTAGTAAGTCTTTTGCATATTAAAACTGTACTAATATTGTGCATTTTTAATAATAGAGATAACTGTTGAAATAGGTTTATTACGCCCACTAAAAGGTTTAAGAAAAGGAGGAAATTTCTTGATTGTGGTAAATTTAAAATATCGTGACTTGAAATGTGGAAACCACAATATGCTAAATGATAATGAATAAAACTAATCTTTATTGACGGAATCTAAAAATGGGATTCGTTAAATCTAATTACCAAAATCAACCGAAAGGGCAACAAATAACAACACATAAAAACAACATTGAAAATATTTTAGCATTAATAATTGTGTCAGTATTTGTTTTTCAGTTTCATGCATCATTTCGTTGAGTTGTTCATCTTGTTCGTCTTGGGAACGATTGTAACAATAAGTAAAGGGACGATTGTAACAGTTGAAAATAAATAATATTATGTTTACAAACCATGTATATCATTTATATTAAGTTGCATGTGCATTATTTTATTTGTCACCTTTCACAGCATAAATTAAAATTTTTAACCCCTTAAAGTTAAAAGTTTAACCCTTTAGGTCTCTGCTCATTATTATTTTTACTCCTAAAATATCACTACTATTTTGATAAATAAAAAATATATCACAACTATGATAATATGTATAATTAACTATGTTTTAGTTAAATTTATGAACTGTTACAATTGACCCCGTAAGTGGGAACAATTGTAACAAGTGCACGACTGTGAAAAATTGTTAATAACTAATATAATAACATTTAAAATATGGTATTTATTTTTTTCTAGCGGAGGATAGTCTACTTTACTCGTCTGTCAATTAATACTAATAATATATTTTTTGTTAGTTAGAAATAGTTAAGTAAAATATTTTACAATTGAGCCCACTCTACCCCACCGTAATTTCCTTTTTTCTCCGAGCAGATTCCAGAAAATTTGAATACCTAAAAAATAGTTTAAGTATAAAAATAGAAAAAATATCATATTTATACTAGTATTTTAACTAAACTTTATAACTATGACTAAAAAGAACAGATTTGCTGACTCTATACGAAATACTAACACAATTACTTTTTAATACCATTGCCTTATTTTACTTGTCTGTCTCCCTTTGTGCAACTGTCTTATACAAGATTTAATCTTACTTTATCTGAAACAAAATCTATATTTTATTATTAGTATTATCTATTTTTTTCAAAGGAAGCTATTTACTAGAGTTGAAAATTAGAACATCTGTTAAAACATTACAACCATATCATTATTATAAATATTCTAACTATTAGTCTTTTAGAGGCAAAATTATAAGAGATTTCCATTAAAGTGAATGAGGTTTCATAGCTATTTCAAATATAAATTAAGATTCTTAGATTTTAATTTTGCTTATATTCTGTAAGTTATTTGTTAAACATTTCTTAGTACAAAATTAATTACCGCCATTAAATCAAATCTTTTTACATTTTTAGATCTGTAAGTGGTAAAATGAAGGAATTTTTAAAAAATGATCATAATCTAAACAGAAAAAAATTCATCGATTATTATTCCAATGAATTATATTTACTTCATATTTCATTGTGATTAAAAATTAAAAAGTGGGACGACAGAAATTACCACATCTTATAAACAAAACATCTTATAATATTTTAAACAATTAAAAAAGACATTAAAGAAGTATGTAAGCGTAAGTCCAAGATCTTCCTTGACGGCGATGTTTTAATAATCTTTATTTAAAACAAACCGCCACTAATAACTTCTCATCAAGTAATCGAATTTTTATGCGCTAAGTTGCTATCTAAATTGTTAAGATGAAGGAAGCTTTTTGAATGGGACTTCACGCAAGTAAATTAATTTATGCAATTAAGTTATCCAATCAAACGCGTTAAATTATTTAAAGGTGCCTTATTTTAATACCTTTCTCTTGGCTACACGTGGGATTATAATTTTCAGGTTTTGCGTATGACTCAGCTTTTTAGATTTAAGCATCTGGATAATATTAAGCGTCAGGATATATATTAATCTGAATAAATATTAAGATTAAAAATTATAAAATGAATAAATTATTATCATTTCCAAAATTAAAGAAATATATGAACTTCAAACGAAAAAACATCTCACTTTTTTCCGACTGTACCTAAAATTAGTATTTTATTAAAATAAATTTCCTGATAGTATTTATCAGTTAAAAAGTGATCAGTTATTAGTTAAAAGTATCAATTACTTAAAGTTATTGATGGTTACTTATCTATGGGGATGGATATAGAGGATTTTCCTCTTGGTGACGAATATACAGATGGATGACAAAATAATACAAACACCTGTGAAAAAGTGTGACTTATTTCACACCTGCACTACAGCCGCGCTACTTGCAACAGAAGTCTGCCACCTAGTGAGCGTGAAGAGGAAGCTGTCAGTCTCTCAACATTAGTCACCTGTGTCACATGAGTTTATCTAACTAGCTTTTATAAGGTGAAATGTCTGACCTGTCAGAATTCCAAAGAGGGATGTTTGTTGGGGCGCGTTTAAGTGGAGCATCGGTGACAGAAACAGCAAACCTTTTGGGGTTTGCAAGAAGTACTGTATCAGCCGTTATGACAGCATATATGAAAGAAGGTAAGACGAAGTCTTCAAAGCAAAACAGTGGCCGAAAGTCAAAGCTTGATGATAGGGTTAGACGTGTCTTGCAGCGCGTAGTTGTTCGAAAACACAAGCAATCGTTATCCGAGATATCATCAGACATGAACAGTCATTTTCAGGATTCCGTTTCAACAAGAACTGTTCAAAGAGAACTTCATGCAGGAACATTTATGGGAGAGTGGCAATTCATAAACCCTTGGTGACAGCAACCAATGCTTTCAAGCGCCGTCAGTGGTGTAGAGGTCACAAAGACTGGTCCCCACAGCAGTGGCAGCAGGTAATATGGTCCGATTAATCATCCTTCACCTTATTTCAGTCCACCTGACGCGTTTATGTCTGGAGATCACCCAAAGAAGCGTTTGATCCTGAATGCCTCTTACCAACTGTGAAACATGGAGGTGGCTCCATTAGGGTTTGGGGTGTGTTATCTTGGCGTGTTCTTGGGCCACTAGTACGTCTGCTTGGATCATATTCATCCTTTTGTACAGACTGTATTCACTGGAGAGTGACCGATTTTTCAAGACGACAATGCCCCAATCCACACCGCTAGGTGCATTCAAACATGGTTCGAAAAGCATGACAATGAAGTTGAGCATCTCGCCTGGCCCCCTCAGTCTCCGGACTTAAATATTATTGAACATTTGTGGCAATATTTGGAGTCTAAACTTCGTTCCCCATTCCCACCTCCATCAAATCTTTTGGAATTAGAGGCCGCTTTGCAAGAGAAATAGCTTAATATTCCTTTAAACGTTGTCCACGACCTTTATGCATCGATCCAACGTCGTATTAAATCTGTAATTCAGTCAAAGGGTGGTCCAACTCCCTATTAATAAAGATTTTCTGATATTTCACAGGTGTTCGTATTATTTTGTCATCCATCTGTATATTCTTTGTATTTATGTGTTTGTTTTCGTTCCCAATAAAGTTTGTTTTCGAATTGAAAAAAAAATATGAGTTAAAATCATCCAAATCATTTCAATTTTAATAGAATACATATCAAATCCGAATATTAATGAAGAGTTCTAAAAATCTAAAAGTTCTACTGTTAATTAAAATTTCTAAAGTTCGAAGTTTACTTTTAAGCTGACTGACTCGAGTACAGTGAAATATGTATACGGTGACCACTTGTCTTGCATGACTTTAGTGGTCAAATTAGACAGCTTTTTAAATTTTAGACGGGATGAATATTTTTTATTCTTTTTGGTTTACATTATAATTTGTTATCTTAATAATTTGTTATATTTATAACATGGTATAAGAGTAATGATATATATATATAATATAGTTTTTCACATAAACTAACATTTTCTCAAAGAGGATATGCATATTAAAATATATGCAATTAGGATAATTAACAGTATTTTAACTTCAACTTTTTAAAATTTATTTAGTAATAGTTATAAACATATTTGTTACTTAAGCCGTATTAATTATTTCTCGTGGTCAACACATGAAGAAGTTTAATGTTAGCTTTTATTACTGTTATACTAATTTTGTGAAACTTAATGCGCAACGTAATAGTATAAAAAATTTTTAAAAAAAACTATTTTATTCTATCAACATCTTAAAAAAGTTGAATTTATTAATTCAAATTTGACTTTATTAGGAGGTCAAATTACAAATTGAACAGTTACTCAGGTTAGTAAGGTTTGTTCTCTTTTATTTTATAGAAAAAATAGTCTTTTATAATATAAATTGAACATGTGATCTGCTTAAAAGGTTTTACCATATTGATGTATTTCTTTTAATAAATTTGTTGATTAAAATGCACTTTGAGAAAAAAGTGTGGTTAAAATTACCAGAATGTGATAAAATAACCATGTTTCTGGCTCTTAGGAGAACACCAAAAAGCTCGGTAATTCTTACTGAAGCACTTTGGAAATGATTTTGGTAAAATGAACTATAAAAAATAGTTTTATAATCTGAGATAAAATTTGTTATATCTGTTAAGATTTGGTAATTTTATGATGATACCTCAGAGCATGGTAGGATTATAATTTATTCGGTAAAGTTTACTTTTCTGTTTCGTATTTTTTACTAAATTTGTTTTTTCATGTATAATAATTGCAATTTTGCAAACTAGAAATTTCGGTGAATTAGTCACCATATAGAATAAAGATTGCTGATTTAAATACTCTATATTTTGGTTTTTTTGGTCAAAATTATGTTTTTTTTTACCAGAAATTTCATTACCATACATTATAGTAAAATTGTTTTGTCTCCGTGTATCGAAAAATTAACCAGAATTTAAAGTTCTTGGTGGCTACTATACATATACTTTTTTGCTGTTGCTGGTCAAGTTTAGCGTCCTATGAGATCTATTTTGGAATTTGATGAATAATGAATTCAAAATTTTATGGGATAACGTCTTTTTCCTTCGGTCCAAAACTAAACTGCAAAATGAATAAATTTCTTGAAATCCCTTCAATAAAACGGAACATGAATCTCAAATCTCTTTCAAGAACAAGGCAATTTATCTTTCTTTCTTTCTTTTATTTCTCTGCCATGGATCACTTCGGAATATAACAGTAAACTGCAAATCCATTTTGCTTCTCGGCATCCCTTAGTGACATGTATTGAGCTGAAGGAACTATTTATAACTTCCTTTTAGGGTTTTATTTTCAAAATAGGAAGCCCAGTTCTAAATCCCTTTACAATTCGATTCCTTCTTATTGACTCAGAGAATACATTCAGCATAAATGTACACAGGTTACAACGATATTACCAAAGCCTTATCACAGTAGTAAACATTTATGGTAATTAAAAAAAACATAAAAGCTTAACAAAGATATATTTATCAGAAATTTGAAATTTTAAAATTTAAGAATTATTTTGTAACTCAAATTTAAGTAAAAAAGTTTAAAAATTGCGTTTTGTAATTATTGAAAATAACTGTTAGAATATAGATAAAATACGAATATTTCGCGCACACTGTTGCACACACACTCAAACAATAATTAGAAAAAAAGAAATTAAAAAATATCGTGAGATGAAATTTTTAAAAAAATATATATTATTCATTTAAGCTTTATAAATTTTAGAGAATAAAAAAGAATTAATTCGTATTTCTTCACGTTTCATTAAATAAACATTTAAACATCAAAATAAATATGAATTATTATATGGATAACTCAATTTGAATATGAATTATCTCTGAATAAACATTATATGTTTAGTCTAAAACAGTTTTCATCAGTCTAAAAATTTGTTTGTATAAAACCTTATTTTTATCCAAGTAAAACTTTTGTTTTATTTGAATAATTTCTTTATTTTTATCTGTATAAATATCTTGTTTTCATATGCATCGAACACCTTATTTTTATTTGTATAAAAACTTTATTTTATACGTATAAAAACTTTAGTTTTATAAGCATAGAAAAGTTTATTTTAGAGAAATAAAAATCAATGCCTTAAGCTATCATGGAACCTAAACAATTACTGAATAAAAGCTTAGAGAATTATAGATTGATAAGATATGAAGTTATACTTCTTGATGAATAGTTAATAAAATGAAGAAAAAAGAGTAAACCATAAACTATTAACGGAACAAATAGATATCATTATATTTATTGTTTCCTTAACCATTACTTTTATTTTAGCTTGAATGAATTCATGTTAGTTTTATTGGGATCAGATCTGCTGTAACTTCTCAAAAATAAGGGAAGAAATTGTTGGGGCATTGAGAGACAAATGTTATCCCTTTGTTGGGTGATAAATTCTAATAATAACATACGGGGACAAAGCTGCCGACAACGGATCACGTATTAGTTTTAAGTACACATAAATTTTGCTAATAATAGGTCAGTTTCTTGATAAATTACATAGACAAAATTGACAATTATAGATCACGTATTAGTTTTAAGTAGTTTTATAGATCACGTATAAGTTTTTCTTGATAGTTAATATTCAAATTTTACATAATATTGTTGGTACATGAATGAGTTAAAGTTTTATAATTCTTCTATAATATTTATTAAAAACTATTATTTTTTAAAGTACATTTCATAAATTATGATGTTGTTACACTAAGAAAAAAAATATGATGAAAGCTACAAAACTACGGAAAAATTTACCTTATTTCTGGCACTATGGGAACACCAAAAACCTCGATAACTTTTACTGAAGTACTTCACTTTGGTAAGGACAATTAAGCATATGGATTTATAATATGTACAAAATTTTTTAAATGTTATGAAATTTGATCAGTTTATTACCATACCTTAGATCATGGCATAAAATCATTTATTCGATTAAATTTATTTTTCAGTTTTGCATTTTTTGCTAAAACTGTGGTATTAAGAACTATAATTTTGAAAATTAAAATTTCAGATAAACCATTATCATATGAACGGAAAAATTACCAAGCCGTAAAAGTGCATTTTTCAACCATCGAAATATGTTTTTTCCCCTTTTTTTTACATGAAATGTCATTGCTATACCTGAATGGACACAGAATGGTAATTTTACCAAAATTTTTTTCCCCGTGAGAAATTCCGTTAATTGCTGATTTACAAAAATTTAATATTTCTTTATTTGTGGCGTTAATGGGTCAATTAGGTTGGAAAAAAAGAGTTGAAATATTTCTTAAGTAGATTTTATTAATTGATACAAAAAGAGCAATATGTATCGTATTATACCATGCTCAAAAAACACGACCACACTGAATAACTTCTGATGTAATGATTGAATCTTCAAGTTCTAGGACTCATTCTTAATAGTTAAAGGGGGGTGATCGAAAATATGCTGAAGAAAAGGTGCAGGCGACATTTTAAGTTACAAAATCAGACATGAAAACGTACTTTTTTCGATTAAACTTACCTTTTTTTTCGCGAAGTCGGATTTCTGACCCCCGAAAAGTAGGGGGTATAGGTTTTGTCTGGTATTTGCACATAAAAAATTGGTATTAATCGATTGAAACTCGAAAATCTGTTTTAATATCACAAAACCTCTGTTTCAAACTCACACAATTGGTAATTAAATGATTAGCACTGATTATATTTCGAATGTATTAATTATTTTATTGTGAATAAAAGTATCAAACTTTCAATTAAAAATAAAAATTTGCCACTTTCAGAAATAAAATTCTTACTTTCGATTATTAAGAAATTCTTGAGCTGTATTTCGCTAACTTTGAGAATCATTTTGGCAGGAAATCATTCTTTACAACGAAACGTGAGCTTTCAGATCTATAACGAAAATCCTT